CAAACTGTTTATATATATATATATATATATATATATATATATATATATATATATATATACAGAGAGAGAGAGAGGGTGTCTTCCCCCAACACAACGCACCCTCATTATGGCTTGCCTAACAACCATCCTCCCCCGAGCAAAACACACCCCCATTTTGGCTGTATGTGGCGTACTGCTCATCCATACGGGCCTGCAAGGCCCGACCAAACAAGGAAAACGGGCCTACAGGCCCTGTGTCGTTTCAGCCTAAAATCCTGAAAACAAGGGCCTACAGGCCCTGTGTCGTTTCAGCCTGAAAGCCTGAAAACGAGGGCCTACAGGCCCTATGTTGTTTCAGCCTAAAACAGGGCCTTCCAAGCCCTGAGTCTTTTCAGCCTGAAACAGGGGGCCATTTTCAGGCCCTCATAAGATCGACCTGCCCTGAAACTTAGGCACCAAACCAGGGTTTTAGCACAGGGCATTTTTGGCCTGTTTTCAAGACAACCTTTGTTTGAACTTCAACGCCAGGAAGTCACGAGGTAGTTCCTAGGAACTTCCCAGGCACTTCACGTGAAGGAGGCAGGAGGCAGTCTTCAGGATTCGACAACAGCACTTTGGAGGAGCGCTGCAGTAGTAGTAGTAGCGTTAGCAGTAGTCTTCAGCGTTGGGCGCTATTAGGAGTGAGAGTAGTAGTGGAGAGAGAGAGATGGTTGGCGGAGGCCAGGGAGGCTTACCTATGGCGCCATAGCTCCAGCTTCGTCTTCGATGTACCTGCAACAAGGCTCCACCTTCACAGGTTAGTACCGGACTCAGAGAGAGAGAGAGAGAGAGAGTTCTTCTTCTTCCTCTTCTAAGTCCACCATCTCCTCCTCACCCTCTTGCTACCTAACTTCTCAGTACCTGCAAATTACGAGAGAGAGAGATTGGTGACTTTGGGACTTGATGACATTGGATCCAGACTCGACATTGGGATTCAGACATTTGACGAGCAATTATTTGGGACCTGTGCCGAAGACTTGGTGTTGACGACATTCCCATCTTCCCCACTTCTTCGTCTAACCCCCCTCTTCTTCGTTTGTGTATGGTTGGGGACTGGCGCATTCTTCATGTGTGAGCGCTAGGCCCCTTCACACCATGGAATGATGATGATGTATGTTTGGGCTGCATTGCGACATTGATTGTTCAGATCATTGGTATTTAAGCCTTCCGCTGTGCTATCTTGTACTATGTGAGAGATGTCGGTTCTTGTTCTGGTTTGCACCTTTACGGTATGCGACAGTTTGGTATCAGAGCGGACCTCTCAATCAGAGGACCCGCTCAATCAAGTAGTCAGCTTGCTTGATCTATTGATTGTTGATTGATTGATTGATTGATTGATTGATTGATTGTTTATTAGTAAATCAAGTAGGACTTCGTCAAATCTCTGAATTTTTTTTTTCTTTCTCGCAACAAATATCTCAAAATTTTTTATATTACCATTTCGTTTTCACGCAACAAATATATGACATTTTTGATAGTAGCATTTCGTTTCTCTGATATTAGCATCCTGCAATGAACCCAGATCGTGAAGACAGTAGTCAACAATGCAAGCCCAGATATATTAGCATTTCGTTTTNAGATATATTAGCATTTCGTTTTCACGCAACAAATATATGAAATTTATGATAGTAACATTTCGTTTCTCTGATATTAGCATCCTGCAATGAACCCAAATCGTGAAGACAGTAGTCAACAATGCAAGCCCAGATAAGTGTCCATCGACTGATGATTACCAATAGTCAAAATCGTAACCAGACAGAATGAGATGAGGTAATCATACACAGACGAAGAGAGAGGAGGGAGATTAGACATAGGAGAGGAAAGTATAATGCCCACTCCTGCTTCGGGCTTCCTCCTCGACTACCACCTCAATAATCAATAGTCTGAACGAGTATCCGAAGTAACCTCAATGTGCCACGTGGCACGTATAATCAGTCCCACATCAGCACTAGAGCAATGTCTACATGAAGACAGCCAGGCCCAATCTCCTCCCGAATGACGATAATCAGAACAACAATACAAGTCACGTAGCTTCCCGTCATCAGAAAGCAATGATACACGTGGCAGCAGCCACATCAGCGATACCGCATGGCAGCTGCCACGTCAGCATGCCAAGAAGACAAGTGCAAGCCACCCACCATGCCGGACCAGCAACGCCTCTCCGAATCACAATGCCAGCGTCGCAGCGTCGAGCCAGCGTTGAAGTCAACGTGTGAAGTCAGCCTCAATGCAAGACAGAATGAATGAATGTCAAAGCTAGGAAGTCAGCGCTTATGTAGCGTTGACACGGGGTCTAGACCCCAGATGCTGCATCCCTCAACCGTTCAGATCTCAATGCAAACGAGGGCCCAAATTGGTCTGAAACCGAATTCCCTCCCACCTGGATGTTGTCTGGATACATGCGCACAACAAGTGAGTGTATCCAACCAAGGGCTTGGGCACGGTACGTTTGACTCTACAGTTGACTTTGACCCTTGAATTTCCAGTGTGCAGCGTTTGGTCACACAACCAAACGCAGCAGACTCAGGTCTGGGCGTGTCTTGGTCACACAACCCAGTGCAAACCGACTCAGGTCTGCGTGGCCTGGGGCTGAGTTCTGGGCCCCAGGCTACTTCTGAACAGGGTTACTGCATTCCTGCCGGCCCATTTTCGAGTTCCACCGCAGAAATC